TATTTAATTAATTAATTTTGCATAGTTTTTAAAATTTAGGATTTTATTGACAACATAATTATTATTTGAAAATTTACGTAACTGTGTAAAGATTTATATCATTACTCAAGCAAAATTAAAGCTTTTAGCCGTATTTAATGCTTTGTGGTTGTTGTTTTTGTGAAAAATTAAAATTTTGGAAAAACTAAATTGTAGTATTTCTATTAGCGAATTATAATTATTGCCATATATTGATATATACCCTATAAATTAAAAATATGTGGGTTTTTTTAGAAAAAAATATTGTGCTAAATATATATCTAATAGCAATGAAGATGTATTTCTGTAACTCTAATGACAGTTTTCAACTGTATTAATGTCAAAGATCCCGCAGCTTATTTGATCGGAATCATTAGCCGATGAACGAACGAAGTCCCATAACACTTGACCTGCATCAAGTCATACGTTAAATAATGGCATCTTGCCGGAGGAATCGGGTCAGCTTATCGAATTACTTTTCTAAAACCGATATATCCGATCAATCTAAAAAGAGTGCAACATTTAACGGCGTTCGATCCGCAATGGCTTAACATCGTATGTGTAACATTCCGCCGAGAAGGTAATTGAAACAAACCGTTTGGAACGTATTAGCCGCCTGAACGAACGCTGCCCTAATGCAACCCGATGTTATTGGTGGTTTGGGATCAATATGTGCCAATGTTGTGGTAGCCATGTGGATTTCATTACCCTAATTTACGAAAAGTTCGAAAAGTATAAAAGATTTTATTAAAAGAAAAATCAAATATCATCATCGATTTCCTTCTCGTTTCTATACTCTTATGTAAATTACATATTCAATTAAACATTTAGTATAACATTAGAATTGCGTAAGCAATTTGTCATGTGATATGTAACCATTTGTATGTATGGGAAAAACTGAAACATATGACAATTTGCTTTCTAATTAACTTCAAGTTATAGTAATGAGCCAAAAATCGAAAATGAATTTTTTTGCATATTTTCACGTTTCAGAGGATCCTGAACATTTTGGCATACCTCAGAAAAAATGGATGTGTGTGTGTGTTTCGTGTCTGCATTTTTTTGTTCACGTTTTTGGGCGCACGGATCAACCGATTTGAATGGTTCAATAAACATTCGATTCCTATTGATAGGGAAATGTGCTGATTAGTTTTTGGCAAAGGCAGGTCCAGCCGTTATGGAGATACGGAGCAAAGAGTGCAGAAAATAGAAATTGAGTTTTTGAGAGAAATGAGCATCCGAATTGAATGATTAAAAAAAATTTCTGCTTGTTTTGAGCAAATAATTGCTTTTGGGGGAAAAAAATTGTTTAATTTTTTTTCCAAAATTTTTTTTTCGAAATTTTTTGTTTAATTTTTTTTCAAATTTATTTTTCAGATTTTTTTTGGCATATCGAAAATAATTCAAATTTTAATTGAAAGGTTGAAGTTCTAAAGCTCACTTACATACTTTAAATAAATAATTATAATACAGTTCTGAAATTCTACCTTGCATCCTGGATTTTTCTACAAACGAGATTTGTCCTGGATTCAGACTTTTTGTAGCGGTTTGTCCCAATTATTAGAGTTATTTTTAGAAAATATGAACCGAAAAGTCTGTACATATCAAATAACACGATCTGAAATAGACACACCATAAATGATATTATTTACTGTGGTTAATATATAATAATGAATATATAGGGTAGAGCGGGACTTAAAGATCCGCGAGTAAAATGGTCCATCATTCTTTTGAAAACAACATTGAAAATGCCTAAATTTTTGCGACGTCTCTATCAGGAAATGTGTAAATATTCATACCATTTTTTTTGTTAGCAGTTTTTTATGGTTTTTAGCTCATGTATTTACTTTATGATTCCTGGATATAATTTTTATGTATACATTATTTAATTTCTTTATTAGGTGTATTACTGTTTATAAGTTAGATTCAATAGAGTTCTTTATGTAATCTATAAAAGGGCTTCCATGAGGGTAGGGTAAAAATTTTTTGTTATAATTTATTTTTATTAATCAAGACTTCAATGTCTTATTTACAAAATTGATATGTGCAAAAAAAGAAAAAATACAAAAAAATACAATAAATTGAATATAAATTAAAAAAAGTTAAAATGAAAAAAAAACAGTAATACAAAAATAATAACATAAATGAACTATGACATGATGATGTATGCCGCGTACTAAGTCTGGGTAAAAATGACCAACTAAGCCTTTTATTGGCAAAAGTGTGAACAATAAGAAATAGTACATAAAAAAGTAAATTAAGTTAAAAAACAGTAATAAAATAGTTGTTCCACCTCTGCTAATGAATATTGCTTTCGAAATCAGGTTTAAGTTTATATACTGTTAAATTTTTGTAAAAAATGTTTCCATAAAATTTCTGTTTCACATTGGCTAAATAATGCACCTATTTAATTCATAAAATTCTTTAAAATGCAAGAGACGTTGAATAGTTAAATCCCCCTGGCTTCTCCCGCTCATGAGGCAAAAAGAGACATATTACAATTTTTAGAAAAAATAGTAAGCGAACATAGTTTTATAATTAGAAGTTAACTTGGAATTTCACTGAATATAGTTAAATAGTTGTTTGTTTGATATATGTTATGTATTGTCAAGTCATTCATTTAGTTTAGACAGCATAATGACTAAAAGTCAAATTGGACCTTTGTGCCCCGTCCTACCTTATATATACATATATTACACTTTCGTTTTCACAAATCCTATTTCTTTCTCCTGCAAGTCCTTTACCATCTCCATCCTTCTTAGCCCAGTCTCTTTCTTATAAGAAGCACCCTTTTTGCTACATTAGTCTAAACCGATTTTGTTTTGTGTCCAGTAAGGATCTATCTTTGTCCATTCTACGGAGTAGTAATTTTTTGGCGGTCGATTTAATCTTTTCATTTTGCTCCACCATTACATTCAGTTAATCCGCCTATCAAAAACAAAACATATTTAATGAACCGATATGATCAATGAAAACAATCAAATGCGTTTATTGACTTGTTTTATAATATTACCTTCCGATAATATTTAATTTATGCTCAAATGATGTATGAACTGTTTTAACTATTACTAATTATGCTTTTAATTACACATAAATGCATGGGGATCAAGAAGGTTTATTGAGAGTAATTGATAATTCCGTTATGTAAGCGAGCTTTGAATATATTGTTGATACAATGCAAAGCATTTTTGATTTATTATCAAGTTATATATAAATGGGATGCGATAATGTATCGAAAACAATTAAAAGCTACGCCTGTACAATCGTATGCATATGTATGACTTATTGATAATTATTAATTCGTTGACATGACGTGTTTGCAAAATGATATATACGCAAATTTCATGTTTTGACGCTCAAAGGAGTATTGATATTACACCTAAAATATTTTGAATTTCATTATGTTCCTATGGACAATAAAATGTAAAATTAATTAAGTAAAATGTAAATCATTATAATATAAAACATAAAAATTTTATTAGAATAGAAAACATAACATTTATTCAATATTTTTTTATTAACATTACATAATATAAAAATCATATCATATATAAACTATAAAAACTAAATCCAGATTTGACTTTTATTTCTCTCGCGAAATCATCAGCCGCAGTTCGGTCAAACGTTATTAAAATCTTAATGAGAATGAGAGATCATAGAATGAGGATTCAATCAATTTCACAGGTTGAAATACTTTCACTAGATAATAGGTATGTGTTATATATGTATATATACATGCATGCATATGTATATTTCGTCCTATAAATAAAAAATTAAAGGTATAAAATTTTTACACAAATTAAAATTAGAAATCTGCAAGCAAATGAATATGGGAAAATTGACCTTTTTGATACATTTTCAAATTTGTGACACATGTCTTTCAAAGTAGGGGGAATCCCGTAACGCCGGACGGCACCCAACGCCGGACACTCAATTCAACACATATATTAGCGAGTATAAATCTTTTTATTACAATATGTGTAAGTAGATGGTAAAGATGTATAACCAGCCAACATTACCGGGAGATAACGGCAATGTTTGAAAATCCATAACGAAAGTATTTTTTTCCTTCTGAATAATACAGCTATCATTTTGTAAAATCTCTTTAAAATAAAAATAAGGCATTGGACTTGTTTTTGTTCTAAGCATTCCATTTTAAGCGCCTACGGGGTGAACGGGTCCAGATTCTAAATTTTTTAAAAAAAAAACAGCAAAAAACACATTTTACAATGATGAATTAGCTGGAAGTTTTACTGAAAATAGTCAGATATTTGTTTGTTTATTATGTGTTTTTTTGTGATATAATTGGTTTGATTTTCAAAATCCATTGCCATTAAATGTCAAATGGGACCTTTGTCCCCGCCTTACTCTGAAATGCTTCTTTTTAATCGATTCATTCTATTTATCAATCATTGTTGGAAGTTAAATATTTGGAGTAGATGAATTAACCACTGAATTAACACAAATAACCATATAGGTTAGCTCGTAATACAAAAAATGACTAAATCGAAAGTATAGAGAATGTTTAATAATCATGACATTTCTTTTTCCTTTCATGATTTTATTTCGCAGTGTCTGGCTTCTTACTAAAATTGTGAAGTCTCAGTGCAACCCCACTTTTCAGACAACTAAGCAATAGTGATACCTATTTTTATTCGAAAATATATTTGTGAATATATTTCCAAGTATGAATAGGTCTTTCCGACATTATTGCATTGAGCTAAATACATATATCATCACTATTAGAATAATTTTAGTAAAAAATATATACCAAATATAAACAAAACAACCTAAGGTTTGCTTTCTGAAAAAATACGAGTTGTTAAGAAATATCTTCACTATCTCTTGTAAGTTCTCACTTAGAACTCTTAAGTGCTAATTGTTATGCAAAAACTTAAAAAATCAATAACTTTTATATGCTATTTTAATATTAAAATATTATATTATTTTATTTTTATCGTGTGCATTTGTATTTTTTTCAGTGGTCGAGATCAAATGCTCATCAAGTTGCTTTGAAGAACTTGGACATCCAGGCGTCTGGTCTCTACTCTTGTGAAGTATCACTCGAAACTCCCATCTACACAAAAGCATCCAGCGACCATGAACTGACTGTTATTAGTAAGTTAATATTACTCATAAATATTCTAGAATGTTTATTAATACATCAATCAATTATTAATTATTATCAATTAAAAAAATTAATCAACATTTGAATATTTTTTATACGCGTAGACATTGAAAAAATCATGCGCTATATATGAATATAATAAATCGAACAATTAAAAAAGCATTCCGCTCAAGCGTATGGAATAATTATTTCCGATGATTTTGTAATTAATTTCCAATTACTTTTTGATATTTAGTAGCATATTTCGATACGGTCAATGGTTTTTGACAATTGTATTGCTTAATTTGTAGTATTTTAATAAATGATTTCACATTCATAAACTATGCAAATTATATATAATAACGTAATTTTCCATTACTAATTACATGTGCATCGTAATTACAAGCTTCTGCATTATATTTTTCTTTATAGGCAATAAGTTTATTCGTTTTCATATCACAAGTATTATGCTATTCTAAAAATTATAGTTTATGAAATATTTGTAATTTAACAATGTGTGTGCATATTTTTTACTTCCTTTATTTACAAATTGATAATTGGAATTTAATAATTGATATTTTGCATAAAATATTGACAAGATAATGAACTTAAGTGAAGCTGTTTTACTTTTTAAATTAGAAAATTGAAAGTTCGAATATAGAGCTTTGAAACAAATTTATCTTTACCATACTTTCTTTTTACCATTGGTATATAATTTAGTTTTTTTAAATTGTTCTACAAATCAAGTTTGCGATTTTGTTTTCGTGAATGTAAAATTTGCATTTCACTCACGTGTTCTTGGAAACGTAGAAAATATAAAAACCGTGTGATTTAAATCAATGATAATTCACATTGATCATTTTTGTTTGATGATTATTCGATCCGTTCTTTGTAATTATCAATTAACATCAAATAGTTTTAGTCTAGTTTTCTAAAAAAATGCTGCACTTACGTGTATTTTACAAATCTAAAACGCGCTCGAAATATCAGTTAAAATCTAGTTTTATAGTTGTATATATAAGGTAAATAAAAAGGTAAAGTAAATTTAAGAATTTTTTAATAAAAATATTTAGAAAAAGTAGAAGGACCAAGTTGTATAACCATCATCTTGATTCTAGTCTACTAGTGATCTAATTGGTTTGATTTTCACAAAATAATTACTTAAAGTCAATTGGACCTTTGTGCCCCGCTCTAATTTATATATATATATATATATATATGTATATGTGTTTGTGTGTGTGTTATTATTTATTCATTTATTCAAATTTCTACACATACTTCTACATTTGTATCATTTATATAAACCTAAACCTGCTTTTTCATACTGCACCTATATTTCCCTACATATTTCGTTCTATTATTTTTTATATAATTGTCGTTTTTATTATAACACGCGCGTGACTTCAACGAATGTTTTTGATGAAATATTCTTAGTTATGATGATATTGAAAAAAATATAATGATACTGAAAAAATATAATGATATTGAAAAAATGTAATCAAATGTTACTAACAAAACAAACTTACACTTGGACCTTATTTTGTTCTCATTGTTTTGTTATATCTTCATAAAATGGTATTATATATATATTAAAAAAATGTATAACTACATATATATGTATAACTACATATTTCATGTGTGAGATGTAGCCCTTGGTAAATTTATATATTATACACATTCAATTACATAACATTATTGCACCTGAATAAACCGTAATAACATTTTCCTTACATACGTAAACTCTCTTACGGTACCATTTAAACTCGAAATACGAAAGTAATGGAGCCATAAAATCAGAAAGTTTGTTTCAAAATTTCTCCGAAACTGTTTTTAAGTGCTTGTCTTTTTACAACGTCGTAAATTACCAAACTCATTTCCTATTTTCCTGAAGAGTTTTTCATTTAAACTTCACTCTTTTCGCGAAAGATATACGCGCAATTTATCATAATATACGACAAGGCTAATTTTGAAATATGTTTTTCTGTGAATTTTTGGAAAGAAAAACGAGAAACTCATACGTTCGTCAGATTTATTTTATATGTGCTGGAACATAAATAACAAGTTTTAAATACAATCCAATTACAATGTCGCAGAGAATAACGGAAATATTATTATGGCTATTAGTTCTATTCTATATAAAAAAATGTAATATTAAACTCGTAACGTTAAATTTTTTTAAGGAATGTAGTTGCTATAATATAAAATAGAGTCCAATCAAAAGATGTATGTTCATAAAATTGGGATTTTTAATTAGCAAAAGTTTATAATAGTGTGAGAGATTTTGCATTGCCATTTTGCACAGCAGTGCCCGAAATATTCAATTGGAAACATGGTTTTCAATCTCTATTTCATAATAGCCATTTTAGTAATCGAATAATTTTTCACAATGCTTTCAGTCAGTGAGTGTTTTTTTTTTACTGAATTTCTAATCATATTTTTCTGGCCTTATAATAAAGCTTGAATTTAACTTGAAAAAAAAAAGAGTGCGCGTAAGGTTCACACGCGATTGAAGTAAAACTTATTTGCCACTGTGCAAGATGGCATTCAAATAAAAATAAATACATCATATAACAATTTTGAATAATGTTTATTAGTAATATGGTAACACTCGTTGCACATATTTATTAATGTCAACCTATACACATTTATATAATGATGAATTATAAATTATATATTTATAATAGCATTAAAAATATTTATAATATTGAAAAACAATAATGTAATTAAAGTCATACTACAAATATGACATGATCGGTTTGTCATTGTAATTAGCATTTAGAAATGAACCTTCGTTAGAGAAATAAAGTAATTGCTGATTAATAAATTCTATAATATTCGTTCACACAATGGATTATGTTAAACAACGCATAAACAAATATTGTTTTCGCAACTTCACTCATCATATAATAATTGTGTTTGAAGAACTTCATGTAATCAAAATTAACATACATTTATTGACTGGCGGTATTTTTTTTTTTTCGCTGGCGATATAATCTCATTCTTTAAACAGCTGTAATACCTGTTTTTCCTAAAAAATATTTTCCATTTTAATAACTTCAAAGATATATAGAAACTACGAATAATATAGATTTTTTTTCAATAAACTTATGTTTCATACACGGCATAAATGCTGCATTTGTTTTATTATTTTTATTATAATTATTTACGGGGGACAGGATAAAATATTCTTCTAATTCAGGCATTTTTCAATAAAATCAAGATGTTTATTTATCTATGCCGATTTCCTTGTTGATATCGGTACGCATACAACGTTGAGGCCTGCACGCATACAACGTTGATGCCGGTACGCATACAACGACAGATCTCTATTCACATACGCGACGACTAATCACAATCGACCCATATAGAAATGATATCATTGAGAGCGAATGACAAATCATTGGCACTCAACTCTTATCTTATCTTATCTGCCGTAACGCACTTCCGTTGTCTTTGTTCCGTTACATTTACACCCTAGTCGCGCTTAAAGAAGTTTTACTTTAACAATTCATTTTTATTAAGGGTTTTCCAACTCTTTCATTTTTCCGATGCGCACGAACAGTACATAGTTGATTAATCGTTGTTCGCTGCTCTTTTCACTTATATACTACATTTGCAATCAGTTAGTTATTTTTCATACTAAGCATTTTATACTTGAAATATTTTTTATTATGAAACAACCTTTACCGGGTCATCTAGTATATATATGCAACGATTTTTTTCCTTTCAGTACCGCAGTCGGCCGCTCCGCGAATCACATTCGGCGCCCGTGAGTACACAGTGGGCGAATTGCTGGAAGCCAACTGCACGTCGGTGCCGGCCCACCCGCCTCCGCATATCACGTGGCTGATCAATGGCAAAAAGGTATTAAAGTCACATAGTTATCTTATTTTTAGTGTTATATTTCTCTTTGGTGTTCCCAATAAATTACGACTAAATATTCATTTGCATTCTGTAGAAGTGGGTGTAATCAATCCGTCTTGAATTTAACTTGCAAAACTGTGAAACACTTTTATTACTTTGATTTCGCTTCTCACAAATAATTGACCAAGAATTTTTAAAATGTTGCATATGAATGTTGAATGTCGCATTCAACTTGCGAGTCTTTGCCTTTTGTAAAATCGTATGATAATTGTAATAAATGATATAAATCAATCAATCAAATCAATTTGATTTATTAATATATAAGTACATATGAGACCAAGTTTACCAATTTATACTTCTTATAATATATAATATATTGTGACATGGTACACATTGCGACTTGCAAGTAGATGATATTTCTTAAATTAATTATATTTTCATTTTGTCTGCAAGCCATTTTTATTTATGCAATATTATTAATAAAAATAATATTATGGAATGAGCATTATTTATTACAATTATATACTATATTTTTAATAATTTGATTAAATTAATGTCCGACTGGTATGCCTGAAATATTTGGATCGTGTCCCGGCACTGTCTATATAATAATAAATTGTAATACCGAATATGAAAACGTGGTAGTAATAATTGAATTTGATTCGAGTTAGCTTATATCAAGAATAATTTTATATAAAATTTTAATCAAACCAATTTGGTGCTATGGAATACAATTGTGGGGCAGTGCTCATAAGACCAATATAGAAATAATACACAAATTTTTTAACAAATTGCCTTAGGAGCACCAAATTATATCCCGAACTGGCTAATTCATCTCGATACGAACACACCTACCAAAAAGATGTAACTAATCGTAAGTCTATATTTATGTAAGTCTACATAAATATAGAATCAAGCTTATCAGTCACTCAAATTCACTAGCAAACTCACAACAACTATTGAGTTGTTTTTCCAACATGCCGATTTACCGAAATAAATTCCTCGAATTTATTAAATGTTCTTAACTGGACAGTTGTAAATAAAATAGAGAATAAAAAAATCCTAGTTTGTTAAAATCGAAGAAGTGTGTGAAAACGAAGTTAAATAGTGTTGGATATCCATTTAAGATATGAAAAACATGTGTAAAAATAAGTAAAGACTATGTTCAAATTAAAATATAAACATTCAATAAAAAAATATTTATGTTAATAATTAATCAATGGCACTTTTGATCTTTCAAGGAGAACCTCAGATTTCTGGGATTTTGATGAAATTTTGCCTGGTGATACAGTTTATAGTCAAACCGAATCTTAAAATATTGAACAATGAAAAGAGGTTATATCAATTTTGGTTCGCAAAATATATGAAATAACTTAATAATTATAAATGTTTTCGCGATATGTATCTATTCAAATATTATAATATATATATATATATATATATATAATATTATATATATAAGCTGATTTTAACTCGATCATTTTTACCTGTCTTATCTATGAATCCGATTTGCGCGCGGTTTATTCTTCGCAACTTTAATTAATTTTCATAATTAAACCACTTATATTTAACGGTGTTTAGTTTGACTATAAACTCTATCACCATGTGAAGTTTCATCAAAATTCCAGAAAAGTAAACTTGAGGTTTCCCTTGTTAGATTAATAAAGCAATAACAACTGTATAAAATTGGCAATTTTGTTATAATGATCAGCAGCTAATTTTTCGATAATAGATTACGAATAAACATTAAAAAAACTTCAAAAATAGTACCCATTTTAATTTTTTTTGAATTTTTCACTCTTTCAAAGGTGGACGAAAAAATGACCCGGACCTTCCCACAGCCCATATCTCTTGGTCACGTCGGAAAGGCGGGAACTCCATTGCTGCACCACAATCCGCCGACGTCACCTCCTGCTCCGATGTACGATATTGCTCCACATTACGCGAAGCAGTTCGGCTATGGATATTACGCTCACAATGACGCTGATCCACTAAGATACCATGGCGAGAAGGGTGTGTTGTACACCCATACACAACATCACAGGTAAGCAAAATTTTATTTGAATTTTTCATTAGTTTTCAAATATTAATTTCATACGAATATGCCAATAGTGTGAATAAACATAGGGATAAGGTTATTCCATTGTACGATAGGTATGGAATCTAATTGCTAGTAATATTTAATAACGTAGGAAATGAGTTTGTGACCTGTAAATATATATTGGGTAGAGCGCCTGGATAAAAAGTTTTACCACCGAACAAGTATAGTTAGAAATTTTTTAAAAATAATATTTTAAAGTAGAGGGCAAAAGCTATGTAACCATTATCGCTTTAAATCGGTCGACTTTGCTACCATGAGATGAACTGCCACATTCTCAAATTTGTAACGAAAGTATTTTTAACTTCCCGTAGGGTAAGTTATAGTAATCGCAAAAAAATCAAAAATGAAAATTTTTATATATCTTTACGTTTCAGAGGTTTCTGAATATTTTGGCATACTTTAAAAAAAATGGATGTATGTGTGTGTGTGTGTGTGTGTGTGTGTATGTATGTATGTATGTATGTATGTATGTACGTGTGTGTATGTATGTGCGGATACAAATTTTCGTCGACGATTTCGCGAACACGGATCAACCGATTTGAATAATTCAAAAAACATTCGATTCGTATTGATAAGGAGACGTGCTGATTAGTTTTTGGCGAAGGCAGGTCTAGCCGTTCCGAAGATACGGGGCAAAAAGTGCCGAAAACGGTAACTCAGTTTTTAAGAGAACGGAGCGTTCGATTTGAATAAAACATTTCACTTGTATTGACAAGATGAAGAATCGATAAAATTTTCATGATGGTAGGTCTAGCGGTTTCGGAGATATGGAGGAAAAAGTAAAAAAATGAGCCATTTGGCGGTCAAAAATGATCATTAGACATATGCACATCAAATTATCAGATATTTTATAGAGATTTTAACAATCAGTATACATTTTGTTAACATTCCTATGGGTTCCGTACCAATGCTTATGCGTTAGACAGCGACGCGGCGCTTACGCGTTTTATATTTTGTCCCTATGCAGTTAAAGCAGTACGATTGCTTTAAAAAAAAAGTTCAGTAATATGTCAAAATAAAGAAAAACAATTTTTTTTCAAAAAAAAGAAAAATAGAAAAAAAAAAATTTTTTTTTTTTTCAAAAAAAAAGTAATTTTTTGTCCAATTTATAGTTTCTCAAAAATCTTATTTTTTCAAAGTAAATTTTTTTCAAAAATGTTAATCGTTTTTAAAAAAAATAATAATTTTTGGTACGGGAAGTTCCAGCAATTTGCCTTAAGGCACGATGCTTTAATTGCCTTAAGACAGAATTCCACTTACAGCTAGTTTATTTAGTTGTTAGCCTTTTTGTTTTTAAGCACGATTGTTTAGTTTACGATACCCCAATATAATTTCTAACTATACTTTATTTAATTGTTTTATGAGATGTATTGTTATTTTCAAATTGGATTTAACAGTTTTATTTTTATAACCCCTAGCTTATACATATGTAATTGGGGTAGAAAGGTCCACCTCAGCTTTTAAAAAATGCATTTTTAAAAGATAAATTAAATTAATAGTTATTCTAGCTCTGATGATGTATCCTTCTGACAATGTTCCGTATGAAGATCCATAATGAAAATATGTGCTCATAAAATATGGATTTTAAAACAAAAGTTGTATTCACTTTATTTGTAATAATTGTATTTCAATATACAATGAGTCTGATTATGATAAATTAAACAGAAATACCTACTAAAGCAAGATTTATGATAGTAATAGTTGATAGTTGTTTTTGCTTATTAAGATTAAAAATACATATGTATCTAGATTATGATTCTTCATTTTATTGTTTTACCTAATAATTAAACTGCATCGCTTTGATTAAATAATGTAACTTGTATTCCATAAATCCCTTTTAAATTCAAAATGAAAGTGTTGATCTTTTTGCATTCTGTCTGTGCATCAGGACCAAGTGCGACCTTTTTAAAAAATAGCAGAGAAAAAAAATGATAATATATTTGGTATTTGTTGTGATGTAATTGGTTTGGCTTTTACAACATAAATACTTGAAGTCAAAACAATTAGGGGCAAAACGTCTTCAAAATTAGTTTCAAAATACACACTGGTGGAAATACGTATGCAACAGCAATAACTATTACGATCAATAAAATCATCAATTATCGCAATTCGCCCATAATTACATCTGTACATAATTATGTATGATTACGTGTATATAATATAAACTACCTGTAGGGTAAGTTATAAAAATCGCAAAACAATCGAAAATAATTTGTTTTATTTAAATACTCGTTTTAAAGGTTTCAAAGGTTTGTCGACGATTTTGTAAATACTGATTTGAAGTTTTTGAAAAAATGTAAATTAATCATTAAATTTCTATGAAAGCAGGAGATTCAATGATTTTTTTAGAAAATTACCATTTGGCGGTCAAAAATGATCATTATTCATATGCACATCAAATTATTAGATATGTTATAACGATTTTAACCGGTTGAAAGTGGCATTTAGCCTTAAGGCAAGTTGCATGAACTTCCCGAAATTTGCAAAATAAAGTTATCGCTATGAATTGAATCTAAACATTGCTATTTCTAATTTATATCTTTCAGACACATTTATAATATCTGTAATTACATTTATAATATCTGTAACTCGTACTTGCATGTTCTAAAATTAGTAGCGCATTATTTTAAATATTAATGAATTGATAATGGACTCATAACATCACATAAGCAACTTTTGACACAAATTTTGACTATATTTTTTACAAACTAATTTTTAAAATTAATCTACCTGCCATAGAAACATAAAATTTTAGTATGTTGTTCAAGACCATGATATCTATCAACATAAAAGTTTCATAAAAAAAAATATTTTTAATAGTTAATTAGGAAGTAACGGCTCGACCAATCTTTGTCCAAAACTAATCAGCACGACTTCCAAATAAAATCCTTCGAGTAGCTTTTGAATTTTTAAAATCGATTCAAAATTTTTGGCTAAAACGTGGACGAAATTTTTTTCACTTTTCTGCTATTTTTGAAAAAACGTCTCGGCCGATCCTCGCGCAAATTGGTAAACGCTAGTCCTCATCGAGATGCATCGAATGGCTTTTAAATTTTTTTAAACGCAGTGCGATGCTTTGAAAAGAAGTTTAAAATCTTCAAAAATTATTTCAAACATTCTTAAAAATGTCAGTTCTTTCAAAAATTTCAGAATTTTCAAAAAAAATTCAAACTTTTTTAAATCGTATACTTTTTCGTACGGGAACTTCCAGCAATTTGCTTTAAGGGCACGATGTAATACCCGACTAGATTTTTGTCTACATGACTCAGTATTCCTTTACAGGCGCCGATCGCACGAATCGATGTCTCACGGTAAACACAAACAGCACCACAGTATTGAAAATGCGCAGCCCGTGGTGGCGGCGGTGCGCCACTCCGCGACGGTCTACCGCGGCGTCCCGTCGACCACGCAGCTGACCGTCGCCGTCAGCGAGCTGCACGCCTTGGAGAACGGTCGGCTTGAGCTTACGTGCATGGCCACCATACCGGCGTACGTTAATACTGGGGACTCGTTCGCTGATGCTAAATTGCACACCGTTCCAGGTGAGTGGATTTGTTTATAACACATTAATGTTATATGATATGTTTCCAAAAATTAATTTTTGGTAATTAAAAGTTTGGTCACCAAAACGGAATTTATAGACAAGTTTCATTTTGAATTTAATAGTTGTGTGATAAATGCGTTAAATCAGTGTTTTGTAAATAACCAAAAGGCATTAGAACTGGTAAATAGGCATTAACTATTTTAAAAATTTTAGGAGGGGCTTTATTACTAGTCTATGAACATTATAATACTATTTTTATGAGTTGGTAGTAGGGGTAACCTATAACTTCATGTATGTGTTATTTATTTATTTATTTATTTATTTATTCATAAGCAAGCCGTAATCAATAATAATAGATATTATTTCAGGCTCTTGTCAAGCTTATTCATAGTTAATATTAAAAGGATAGTAATTTTATAATAATCATAGTAGCTGCACGAATTTCGCTTCTGAAAAAAAGAGCTGAAAAAAAAGCATTCGAACATTAAATACAATGTTCATCATCAAGTTCATCATGTTAAAGTCTAGTCAAGCTCAAAATTCTTGCAAAAGGTTGAAAGTTATACTCATTTAAAACCGTAAAAAATTTGAATTAATAAAATAGCAATAAAAAAAAGAACATGGTTGTACAGGCGATCAAATGGTCAGACTACATAGATAAAGAATAATGATTATGCAAGAAAATAGTTATTGAAATCAAATTGAGAAAATTCTGTAATGTCATAAAAAGCTAATTCTTTAAAAAGTTTGACTAGGGAAGCATGAAATTTTTTCTGTCTAAGTTTCGGATATTGAGTGGAAGTTTATTCATAAATTTTCATTTTATTATATTAGCCATGAAGACGGCAATCTTCATGGCATTGAGCTTTTACACCGGATTGTTCCTACCCTTTAGAGGGTATAGCGGATTTGGATCAGACTTATTTTCCTCACTCCTGAATGTCTGCGTAGCAACATATGTAATAAATAAGTAATAAATATATCTTCTGCAATTAGAACTTAGTAACAAACCATTAATGTAATGCAACAAATACATAAATTATACCAACAAATCAGCGTTTAATACAGTGCACAGCTACAAAGGTTAAATTATAAGTTATCGAACGAGAGACTTAATACGCATGTACAGTTATCAAAGAAAGTTGCATTATGATGAAAGTGTTATTTAACGTTTTTGCATTTTGAAGGTTAGATTTTATGTGTAAACCGCCTGATCGCACAACGTCCGGGTATGAGTTGGCAGTTTGTTACTTCCAACTCATACCCGGACGAATAAGGACCCGTAACGTAGCATTACTATCACATTTCTATTTTACCCGACAAATGACAAATAGGAAAATTATTTTTTTATTACAATCTAAAAACATATTTTATTTTTCCGTGTTTACCGTTTTATGAAAACGTAAAATTGGTTTTGAGGAAGCAAAAAAGTGGGATATTTTGCAATAAAAATATTAAGGGCTTGAAACCGAATATTTTGTACAACATAATATAACGTACAATTTTTTATAATATCATGAATTATAGAAATAGCGTTTTATTTTATATTTAATAATTGTTTGATAAACGCGTTAAATCAGTTTTTTAATGGACAGAAGTCTTAGAGAAGGCGATGATATAATTTTAAAAATAATAGTTATATATTTACAAATGATAAGTATAAAAATTGTTTTTGCGATTACAATCTATAAATGTTTTTTTTCTGTTGATAATTTTTTATGTAAACGTAAAATCAGTTTTAAGGGGCATGAAGAGTATTATAGTAGCAAAAACAGTTAAGGGATTGAAATCGAACATTTTTACAATATAGTAAGACGTAGAAGTATATATATATAAATATAGATATATATATATATATATATATATATAAATGAATAAATAAATAATTCAGAAAAAATACAACAAAATAACTCTTTATTCAGTTTTCTCTCAGTGTTTCATCTCAGTTTCAATTTATCTTGAATCATGTGAGTCGACATTCATATAATTATAAAACAGGGTACTGTGACATTTGATAAATTTTCGTTATCATTATCACCTTCTGTTCAGTATCCCATGTAGATTCGCAAAAAGTTCTAAAAACCTCGTGTAAAGTGGCAAAAAGTCTTTTTGCGTGGTGATATTCAAATATAGCGTGGGATTCGAATGGAGATGGTGGGAAAAAATACATTAATTATATTATAAGCCCAAGAGAAATATTTTTTTTGATTGTTTTATGTCGAGTATATAAAGAATAGAAAAGAAAATTAGTGTCTTTTTATTTATTTTGTAATGCGAGTGCTGTTAATGAATCACTTTTTATATGAATTTAATTGTGAAAATTATGATTAGAAAAAAATAATACATTTTTACGCACGTTACAAAATGTTAATTAGAGTTAATATAATATATCAACTATGAATGCAGTTATTTCAAATTCCAGATCTTATTTTTCTCGTTTGTCTGAAATTTTAACGATTTGTTTAAAAACTTTACTCAACCGTAATTATATTGCATAAAATCTTTGTTATGCTTTGGTTCAGATCAGTAATTTCCAAAGTAGCTCATATTGACCTCAGAGGTCTCTTACAACTTACAACTCTAAGTGATCCGCGTCAGCAAAAAAAATGTGGGGTCCTCGAAATGAAAATGGGGGTAGTCAATCTCATTGATTCATTAATATTTATTTATTTATATTATACTATATATAATAAAAAGTTATTTTACTTTTTTTCAATGTATAAGTTGTAGCATGTGGTCGAGTGATATATTTAAATGGTTTCAAACGACCAAATATTTGTATATCATTTTATAATTGTAAAAGACCTAACGTGTACAGTAAGGAATTTTTTGAAAACATGAGCAAATAGAGAGTTCATCGCTAATCTTAAAGGCTCCATACCACAAAAAAGGTTGGCAATATATGGTTTTAGAGTTTAATCTTAAGTTTCCAAACTTTTTTGTTTCATGGACTCATTGGGGTTTGCCATGGCCATCTATTTACCCTATATCGATTTTTTTTATAAACTCTTAACTGTTCTAAAGTTTATTAAACAACAGTCTCATAAAGCTCAAAAAAAGTTGCCAAGCCTGTCAATAGTCAGAAAATAGGGTCTTTAGTCAAACATATTGCGACCACAAATCGAATGGCTATTTATGCTATCACTTAAACATTATAATAACATAATTATTATAAATAACATTTTCATTAACTTTTTACATCTTTTTATAAATATCGCATTATGTTTATTCATATTGTAGACATTTTATTATAGATATATGGGCCGATTCTCTCGCACAACAGACCTATGTTATGGCATATTACTACTGAATTATACTCATTACTGTCAAAATGTCAATGTTTTGTTCTGCATTCAGGCGTTTTACACATAAACTATAAGGTCACTTGTACGTTATGATGCTGGGTCAGAAAACCCTGCTATCTAAGATAGTTTTGTTGACATGCAACCTGAAAACGCCTGACTGCACAGCAAGTACATGGATTTTGACAATATTTAATAATGCTTGTTAGTATGGAAAATCTTTCATAACATAGTTTGGCCATCACATTGGTCTGTTATGCAGCAGAACAAGTCCGATGGTAAAGATACTCGTATTAGCGTGGTGTATGTGATTCACTATCGCGGAAACTTATTTTTATTTTGTGGATCCCCTGGAAGTTGTCGTAGACCGCGGTGGGATTTGGGAATCACTGGTTTAGAACTAAACTTTAGACTACATGTACTGTTCATATAAATTTTAACCGATTCATTTTGGCGGTCTATTTCATGAAATATTTTATGCGAAAAGTATCAAATATAAAAAAAAACTTGAGAGGTAAAAGAATATTAAATATTAGGAAATTGTGTGATAATGTCATTTAATGCTTTAAATTTGTATGTGAAACTTTGAAATTGGATTATTAGATATCAGTAGGTTTAGTTGGTAAGGAAGTATTATAGATTATTCAAACTATTTGCCTATTTCTTATGCAAGTATATTATGATGTAACATTTAATTACTATTGGAACGAACACATATATATATGTTTGATAATTGATTTTCAGTAAACATCGTGATAACGGAGCCGTCGACTGAAGCAAGTATCGCAAGCGATCAGGTGTCAAATGCAGTCGCGTTATGTACGAAAACGATACCAAATCTATTTCTTCTTATAATCGTTAAATTGCTGGCAATTAGTCTGACGTAAATTAATTGTTCGTGTTTACAATCAAACTTAAAATACGTACTTTTTAAAATATACTACAATATAAAATCGTGGTCGTGACAGGCCGGGTTTTCCACAACAACCCGAATTTATTATTTTATATAAAACAATATTAAGTTTTATTAATTTTAGGAATATTTTCAAAAATTATATTGTGTTCAACTTTTTTATATCCGTATGAGAAATGTCTAACAATAAACTTCAATTAAACTTTTTCAGGATATGTCTATATTAAGTTAATGAATAACAAAACGCAATGAATATATTATATTGAGTAGGTTACGGAGATGATTGTACAATAATGAAAATAATATTTAAGAATTTGCATTTGACTGAATGTATGTAACATAACAGCGCATTAATAAATTGAATGGTAGTAGAATTAAAAGATTAATTATAATTTGTTTAGAAGAAATCAAAGCGAGAATGCTGGTGGCCTGTACAAACAGTTAGTGAATATAATAAAATTTTAGTCATATTATTATAGTTTGTGAATAAAACGATAATCGAAAAATATATATTTAATATCATATTTTTCATAAAACTTAACCTAAAGTTTAATCAATAATTTATGAAATAATAATGACTTTTTTAGGCAATTTTAGATGATCAATTTATTGATCTGAATTAAATGTGGATTACGTAATTTACGTTGCGTATACTTTTTAATTATCAAATATATCGATGAGATATCCATCTTGCAGAAAATGAATAGCGGAGGCTGGGTATGGTTGTTCCACTTTTTTATAACAAATAATTTTGTTAATTTACCAGTTAGCTGGGAGCAAAGTGAATTAAATTGTAGTTTGAACACTACGTGGTTTACGTGGAAATACTAAAATACAGTCCTCAAATATGATTTTTTTGTTTTATATTTATTTATCATTATGTCAATCAAGACTTATAGAGTTTTATAATACAAAACTGCTTGCTTAGGTAATGAACAGAACAATCAAATAAAGTATACAATATACATAATAAGTAACAAAAATTAAGAAACTAAGGGAAAAAAATAAAATGAAGCAAGAAATTAAAAATTTAAATGAAAATATTAGTTTGATGAAAGGTGTTGCTGAGTAAGCTTTGCCAGTCCTTAAATATGATGAGTTAGTTATAAAATAAAGTAAATAAAATATAGTGACAGACATAAAAATAGGTTGAAGAACAATAACTATAAACAATAAAATGGTTTATAACGACTTTTATTGTTAGATTTATGTAAATATTACAACTACAACATTACAATTACAATTACAATTACAACATTTATGTAAACACATTACAATTACAACATTTATGTAAACATATTACAACATAATCGTTTAAACAATAACCAAGTTTATGAATATGATATAAAAATATATAACAAAACATAATTTTTAAACAAAGTTATCAAGAAGTCTTTGTGATTTTTTTCTGTTTCGAATTATTCTTTCTCTCTCTCTTTCTTTTTTGTATTTTGTCTTAGTTAAGTTAGATTTTTTTATCTGTTGAATCGTTACCCGAAAAGGACAATAAGTACTTGCCACAACCGTAACCATAAAATTTGTCACAACCGTACCCAACGCATACTTTTGATTATCGTTATGACCGAGCTAAGTTATCACAAGTATAAATAAACTATAATTAACGCTGGTAATTAACTACTAATTTTTAATTTCCTGCAAATTAACCAACGAAGTGATCTATCTGTATACAATAAACAGGTATTATTAACAGAAATCGAACTTTTTTTGACTCTTTAAAAATAATGATGAACGGTCTACAGATACATTATGTTAATAATCATTATGTCATGCTGACTAAATGCAATAATGGAAACTTGTTCGAACAAACATACCACATCTTTCTCCTTTGAACTCTATCTTAAAATCAGTATAGTTTAGCAGTTAGACGACTGTCACTACCGTACCCAGTCTCCTCTACGTTTCATCGCCATAAAGTTTGCAATAAATTTTACAATGTTGGTACTTGTGCTAGCAGTGGTAAATTTTTATATGTTAATTAGTGTAAATATTGATCAAAACTCGGAAAAATTGTATTTTATTATTACAGTGCAAATCTATGTCTTATACCTTGTTCTTTCGATAATTAGTTAGATAATGAAACTTCAAATTATTATTCTTTATTATTTTCATTATCTTATACATTCATATTCTGAATTTTTGACCCACCAGCTGCTGCGCTTTGTTTTCAATAAATGTAAAATAAGCAGATATTACCCCTAAAACTGTCTTCGTAAATGCTTTGTAACATGCACTATGGCGTCCAATAATATTTTCAGTATTAGTTTTTTAAACTAGCATTTCACTAGTTCTCGTGTAAAAAAATGAATAATTTTAATGACTAGATCACTAATTTGTAATCGAGCTTTCAAAATATAAAATGTGAAATAGTAGATCATATAAATGTATATGTAGGAAATTTTTCAAACCGTGGAATCTATTTATTGGCTATTGAACATGCTTTCCTAGATTAACAAAAAAGAATTTATAGCTATATAGAATAGCTGGATTTACATACCTAATGTTATTTACAACGTCATAGTGCAAATTTTAGACGCTTAATGTAACTGGACCCAATTACTAAGATTTTATAAAAAAGCGTTATAATATTACAACGTAGTTCTATTTTTAATTATTTAAGTCAGCATTTGCAACGAATTGCACGTCGAGCACTGGACAAATCATTTAATAAGGGTAACTCAGCTTGTAAACTAATCATTAATTAAAACTTGCAGAAACAATCTGGCATGTACAATTTGTGCAAATTTATTTAAAAAGAATCTTTTTTATAAATCTATACTACGGAATGAGTACCTAATACCTTTAAAGTGTATACATATTTTTATAAATCTCTACCTACTAATTTTGTAATTAATTTTGTGCATTTATGATGTGATATTATTGGTGCCATATTTTTCACTTTGTTAAATGGCACACTTTTATATCTTGCAAAATCAATCTTAATAACAAACTATTATAAATCTTGTATGGGGAGTGTGAAACAAGGTGCATAGGTATTTTTTCAATTTGCGTCTTTGTCAAAGGATACGCGGGATTCGATAATAGGGCGAAATTATAAGGCGCAATTCGCTTTCCTTCTAACGAAAAATCGATTTCGAGCTTGTAATGTAGATACGCAGTTTTACTTCTAGCGACAACTTCTGAAATTATTTGCCAACTAGGAAATGTGACAAAAGAAAAAATTCTCACATTGTTTGGAAATTATGAGCTTTTATGTGCAACCTAGAGCTTTAGTGAAATTATGACCATCTTGCTTATTGTGGTTAATATTTACTAATTTTGCCCATTTAAATTTTGGAATCGTAACTGTGAATAACAATTCTTGGATCACAATCAAAAACAATAACACAATTTCCCCAAGTTTTCAAAACCTTCTGTTGAACTATGAACTTAAAATTTTAAAAATGGGTCGAAGTTGAAAAGCCCTCCAATAAAAAAATATACTAAAATGTGTTAGCAAGTTTCACAAAAAGTTGGCGCATTTAATCAGGATAGTAAAACAGTAAAATACTTGATAATTTTTTATAAGTTATAGTATAGTTATAAAATTAAAAACTATACATATGGCCATCGTTGAACTACAAATGGCTAGTAAATTGGTCAATAAATGAGTGAACAAAATTGGTCTAATAAATGTTCAATAATTGGATGAATGCCTCAAGAACTAATATATTCATCAACTTCAGCTTCAGTATTCAAATAACATTAGAAATATGTGGTCTATAACTAACTAAATTTAGAACTAGTCGTGTCTGGTATTCTACCTTAAGTAAAATATCTGTTTTTTGGTCTTTTATCATCGCCCATATACTGCAAAACCTAATTATCATACATTTCTGTAAGAGCAACATTGTCAATATTCCTCCAATCTATGAATTATGCTCTATTTTACGGGAAAAATCGTCTCTGTTCGCAATGTAAATTTGCAGAATTTGCTCACAATTAATAAAAACGCGGATTAAATATTAGGTACGGAAACACTAATAATCTCTTGTAGGACCAAACGATTGTAATCATACTTCAATACTTCTGCAAAGTGTTGGAACTGTTAAATAATCACCAAGAAGAGTCATATAGTTCATATAGATCATAAAAACTAATCATCTTAAATTCTCATGAAATTCGTCCAAAAAAAATTAATTTCTGAGAAGAACAGTAATGAACTTTTTATTTTGCGGTCACATAAATTCACGAGAATATTTAATAGAATCTTCTTATAGATAATTATTAATGAAACCCTACATTGCTTGTATCCAGCGACATAAATCTTTGGAAATGAATAAAATTCATATGCATCTAATTTAATACATCCCTTTCTAGTCTCATAATGATATTTTTTGTAATAGATTTTTTTCATCATTTATTAGTAATTATTTTACTAGGGCATTTTTCTTCGATTCTGTTTCTAAAAAAAAGTCAAATATATTATCACGTATAAATAACGTAATATAATGATGTATTATGTATATTATATCTGAATGTGAGAATATGTATTCTTGTTACTTATATTCAAAAATATTTATGTTCCATGTTGAAATTACAAAATATTTTATAACAATTGAATGTTTCAATGTAAAAAATATTATACAGAAAATATCTATAATAGGCAAAAGAATAAGTAATCAAATAAATTAAGATTTCGTCTCAAAAATGGAATTCAATCTATTCACATTATATGCACAATCATAATATTACAAAAAAATCTTCTTTATAAGATTTTGTATGTATCTACCAACGTAATTCATTTTACTTTGGCAAATAAACTAGCAAAAATACCTTATAACGACTTTGATCAAGCTTTAACTGTTAACTATAAAAAACGTAAAATTCATTAGCAAAATTTTTCATTTAATGTGGATGAATTCATGTAAATATTGTTTTAGAAATTAATAGGTAAATATACTCAACCGTGATTTATTCCAGAAATTTTGATATGATTTTGCTAAAATTAGTTTA